ATTTATATTAAATATATATGAGATTCAAATGGCTATAAAATGGCTAGCCATGTGGGAAGGTCAAAAAGTCTTCATATGCATCTAAAATAGAGCAAAACCGGCTAGCAGCATATTATATTTAAAGAAGATAATATTTGGAAATTCATTATAAATTCAAATGAAATCCAAATGAGTCATATAACCTATCAATTTATATTTACTGAATCCAAGCTATCTAATAAAATAAACATTAGACCATGGTTCGGACAAAATTATATCAAATTTAGTAAAACAAAACTCATGCACATTTTTAAATATTTAAGGATATATTGATTATTAATATAATAATATTATGTAATATATATATATATATATATATAATCATACATTAATAAATAGATGTAAAACAAATCAGTTTAAAATAAACACATAATAAAAGTTTTGCCATATAAGCTTATTACCTTTAATTTCCCTAATTAAATAACTTTTCATATTTGATAATAATTAAGCAATCAATGAAGGTTATATAATTTATTTAATAAAGTAATGTTTTAGATTCCTATATCAAGATTAATATATAATTAATAGATATTTAGATAGTGAACAAATCAAATCATGCAAGTAAATATTAATGGACCACTAACATACTCCTATGATAATATAAAGTCCTTTAACTTGTCCATCTTGGTCCATCTTAATCTCAACATTTGATTGAACTTAAGTTGTGTAATGTAAATCCCATAAGTAATTATAATGCACATCATTACACTTGAAATACTTAGCACACAAATTAGAGCATCCAAGCATATGTTTATAATTATCAAAATCTCTAAAATAGTTCATGAGGTAGACAATATCAACAATCTCCCCTTTTTTTATGATGGCAAACTTATGTTAGGTATAGTTATATCAAAGGTACAATTGGCCTTTTATCATAGCTTTTAAGTATTAGAAAAATATATATAATAATTAAGAAATATGCGAATAATTCTCCCCTTAAATATATGCATGTAAAATGAATTATGACCAACATATATAGTTCTTCTCCCCCTTTGACAACATCAAAAAGAATAATTAAACATATAAAAGAAATTTAAATGTTAGGATCTAACATCGCAAGCATACATCTTAACATGCAAAATCTCTCTTCAGCTAACGGTTTTGAAAAGATATCAGCTATTTAAGAATTTGTGTTTACAAAATCTATATTCACATCACCTTTATTCACATGATCTTAAATAAAATGGTGTCTAATCTCTATGTGTTTAGTTCGTGAATGTTGTATAGGATTTTTTGTTAAACTTATAGCACTTGTATTATCACATTTAATGGGAATATTTTTAAGCTTAATTCCAAAATCTTCTATTTATTACTTTAGCCATAAAACATGAGCAACACAACTACCTGTGGCTATGTACTCTGCTTCAGTAGTGGGTAAACCGATTGAATTTTATTTTCAAGAAGACCAAGAAATAAGTGAAGATCCTAAAAATTAATAGTTCCAAAAGTACTTTTTCTATCAACCTTACAACCAGTGTAGTCTACATCAAAATATGCAACTAAACTACATGATAATAAATTTTTAGGATACCATAACCCTAATTTATGTGTTCCAATCAAGCAAAAAAATATTTGCTTAACTGCTATTAAGTGTGATTCCTTAGGATTAGCTTGAAATCTTGCACATAAACTTACAACAAACATAATATCAGGCCGACTAGCAGTAAGATACAAAAGTGAACTAATCATACTCTTATAAAGTTTTTGATCTATTGGTTTTCCTTATTCATCTAAATCAAGTCTAGTTGATGGGCTTATAGGAGTTTTACTCAATTTGAATCTCTTCATATCAAACTTTTCTAATAATTCATATATGTATTTGGTTTGACATATGAATGTGCCAAACTCTAGTTGTTTTACTTGAAGTCCTAAGAAAAAGGTGAGTTCTCCCACATACTAATCTCAAATTCTTTTGGCATTAATGAGGAAAGCTCATGACGTAAACTTTCATTTATACTTCTAAATAAGATATCATCAACATAAATCTGTATAATAATCAAATCATCTCCAATTTTTTTGATGAAAAGAATTGTATCTACCTTATCTTTTCTAAAATTATGTTCAATTAAAAAGTTACTTAACTTAACATACCAAGCACGTGGAACCTGTTTTAATCCATATAATGCTTTCTTTAATTTATATACATGATTAGGAAAATTAATGCTTTCAAAACCTGGTGGTTGTTCTACAAAAATATCTTGATCAATATACCCATTCAAAAATGCACTTTTGACATCCATTTCAAAAAGTTTGAAGTCCTTAAAACAAACAAAGGGAAGGAGTAATCTAATGGCTTCTAGTCTTGCTACGAGTGCAAAAGATTCTTCAAAGTCTATTCCTTTTATTTATGTGTACCCTTGTGCAACTAATCTAGCTTAATTTTTGATAATACTTCCTGAGTCATCTTGCTTATTTTTGTAAACCCATTTAGTTCCAATTATATTTTGATCATGAGGTCTTGTGACTAACTCCCAAACATCATTTCTTAAAAATTGGTTAAGTTCCTCTTCTATAGAAATTATCCAAAAATTATCTTGTAAAGCTTCATCTATATTTTTAGGTTCAATTTTTGATAGGAATGTAGAATGTTCAACCTCTTCCCTATGGTTTCTCCAAGTATTAACACCTTGGGAAGGATCACCAATTATTAACTCTTTTGAATGATTTATATTTTATCTCCATTCTTTGGGCAATGAATCATCCTCCTTTTCATCCAAATTTATTTTCTTTATATTTTCAATATCATCATCATTCAAATCATTTCTTATTAAATTTATAGGATTTTCATCAAAAATTACATGAACGAATTCTTCAATAATTAATTTTCTCTTATTAAAAACTCTAAAAGAATTTCCAAAAATTGAATATCCTGAGAATATACCATCATCAGACTTACTATCAAATTTACCTAAAGGATCCTTATCATTATTTAAAATAAAACACTTACATCCAAAAACATGTAGATGACTAATCTTAGGTTTCTTTCCAAAGAATATTTCATAAGTGGTCTTTTTAAGAATTAGTCTTAAATAAACTCTATTTGTAACATAACATGCAGTGTTTATTGCTTCTGCCCAAAAATAATTTGGAAGTTTATATTCATCTAACATTGATCTTGCTAATTCTATCAAAGTATGATTCTTTCTTTCAACTACACCATTTTGTTGAGGAGTCCTAGGAGCTGAAAAAATATGTCTAATTCATTTTCATCACAATAATTTTTAAATGATTTATTTTCAAATTCTTAACCATGATCTGTTTGAATTCTATGAATCAAATAACCTTGTTCTCTTTGAATATACTTAGCAAATTTTATAAAATCATCAAATTCATTATTTTTATTAGCTAAGATTAATACCCAAGTGTATCTTGAATAATCATCTACAATTACAAATCCATAATTTTTACCACCTAAACTAGTTGTGTTAATTGGCCCAAATAAATCCATGTGTAATAATTCTAAAGATCTATTTGTAGAAACTATATTTTTACACTTAAATGTACTTTTCATATGTTTTCCATGAATGCATGCATCACATATAGAATCAAAATGAAATTTAATTTTTGATAAACCAACTACTAAATCAAGTTTAGAAATTTTATTTAAAGTGTGGATATTAGCTTGACATAGCCTTCTATGTCATAACCAAGCATCATCATTTATAGATTTCATGCAAAGTAAATTCAAATTAACATCATTTGTATTCTCTAAATCAATTAAATAAATATTTTTATATCTATTTCCTATAAGCAAAATTGTTTCATTATTTATAATAATGCAATGTGAAGCATAAAATGAAACATTTAAACCTTTATCACATAATTGACTAATTGATATTAAGTTATGTTTTAAACCAGAAACAAATACAACTTTTTCTAAAGTAATAGAGTTCTTATATATGGATCCAATGGCAATAATCTTTCCCTTTGCATTATCTCCATATGTGACATATCCTCCATCATTTGATTCTAATGTAAAGAGTTTTGCTTTATCTCCCGTCATATGTCTTGAACATCCACTATCCAAGTACCACATGCCTTCATTGATTTTACTTTGAAGGCATTCCTACAAAAAAAAATCAAATGTTAACTTTTGGAATCCAAATATTTTTGGGTCTACATTCCAAATGAGTAGTATGATATCTAATATGTATGGTAGTTGAAGTTCTTGTATTTTTTGGAACCCATACAAAAGATGATTATTTAGCATTTTGTGATCTACGAGAATAGCAATCAAATGAAATATGTCCTTTTCTACCACAATAATTACACCAAATTTTAGTGTTTGCATATGGATTTGCTTGATTTCTATGTGACATATAAGAAGAATTTTTATTTGATGTTGTACTTGATGGAGATTTATAATAAACATATGATTTCATGCATAAATCTAGTCTTGCTTTTAATAGAATATTTTCTCTTTCAAGTTTACAAACAAGTAAAGAACGATCTACTAAAGAACTATTTTTATTTTTCAAATCATCACATTCATTTTTTAAATCATGAAAATGCATATATAAATTTATATGCTCTTTTTCTAAAGCATTATATTTTATTTTTAATTTTTAATATTCAAGAACTAATTCATTAAAAGCATCATCTAATTCTTCATAAGAAATATCATTACATACCTCTTGAGAATCACAATCTGATTCTCCTCCTGCCATAAGGCAAATGTTTACCTCTTCATCTGATGAACTTGATTCATCTGAATCTAGGTTAGCCCATAGAGCCTTCTTCTTCTTCTTGAAATATTTCTTTTCTTTCTTGTCACTCTACATCCATCTCTTTCTTCTTTGAATCAATAAGATCTAGACAATCTCCTCTTATATGTCCAGGATTCTTGCAATGGAAATAAATAATCCCTTCTCCTATAGGAAATTTCTTAGTATGAAATTTATAATTTTTAGATTTTTTATACCTTTTATTTTTCTTCCTTAGTAAGCTTCCAAGTCTTCCTGAAAGCGTGGCCACCTCATCGTTATCTTCATTAGAGCTTGATGAACAAGGTGAATTGGGGTTCTTAAAATTTTTATTAAAAAAAAGAAAATTAAAATGATTTTAAGGAAATTATGAAGAGAGTAAGTAGTCACACAATATTTCTAATGAAAAAGACAAAGAAAAAAATAAATGCAAGAAATGAAAATAAGAGGCACATTATTTTTAAGTGGTTCAGCCCAGATTCCAATCCGACCTACGTCCACGCTAGCTAACTATTGGGCTAGAATTCACTAATCCCATGTTCGCTTAGCAAACCTCACTTCTTTAAACCAAAGAAGTTCTTTACAACCGAAGTACTCTCCTACAATGGCGAGTACAACCTAATCTAATTACAAGTAAAACTAAACTAAGCCAAATAGCTTAGATTAAAAAAATGAAAAATACAATTTGATGTAAATAATATAATCTGAAATTATCTTGCAATAAAATATCCATAATATTTGAGGTCATCTTACAAATTAATTTTAATCACCTCACTACTTGTAAATGAAATATTAAATATGCTCACTTTAAGGTAGATTTCTATTTTGTTTAACACAAAAATAATATTTTAAATAAAAATATATTCTTGCTGATTTAAACTTCAACTCTTCAAATAAAATAAAATGAATTAGATTTTAGATGTAAATCTATGCCACCTTAAAGAAGTAAAAATACTTGCTTTGCTAAACTTTATGGATGTAAAAGATAAGATATAGAAAACTTTAATATAAAATTTCCAACAAGTATTTTACCATAAAATAAATATTTTCAAAAAGAAAGATATGGTGAAAGCTAATAGAACAGCGAGTAAAGATTTAGAGAAGGAAAGCAAACTCAAGAACTCCAATAGATGTTATTCTGTTTTGTGTTGAAGCTTTCTAACCAGGACTTCGATCTCGCAAATTGAAAGAGTACTTGGAATAAGAATCAAAATTTCTCCTCTCAAGATTTAGCATGTAAAGAGGAAAGGAAGAATGGAAGAATTGCTGGAGATTTTTCTTTTAGCAGCACTTACATGAGGAAGATGAGAGGTATTTAAAGAGAAAGGGCAAGAAAAGCCACATTTAAATAAAAATATTATAATAATATGTTTTCTATCAGATAATAATATTATATTTCATAAAGAATTCATTTATATTAAATATATATGAGATTCAAATGGATATAAAATGGATAGCCATGTGGGAAGGTCAAAAAGTCTTTATATGCATCCAAAATAGAGCAAAAATGGTAGCTAGCAGATTATATTTAAATAAGATAATGTTTGGAAATTCATTATAAATTCACATGAAATTCAAATCAGTCATATAACCTATCCATTTTTATCTACAACATCCAAACTATCTAATACAATAAAAATAAGACCATGGTTCTGAAAAAATAGTGCCATATTTAGTAAAATAAAAACTCATGCATATTTTTAAATATTTAAGGATATATTGATTATTGAAATAATAATATTATGTAAGCATGAATAGATATTATTTTGTTCAAAATATTGTATTATTTAGCACATCATTACACCTGAAATATTTAGCACAAAAATTAGAGCATCGAAGCATATGTTTGTTATAATCAAAATCTCTAAAATAGGTCATGAGGTAGATAATATCAACATAATCTTCTCATATCTAACTTAAAATACTAATTATTCATAATATAATTTTTAAAAGCAAAATTCATAAAGTTATACGTTATAAATTTATATTAGGATAATAGATCATATGGTTCAATAAGTATTAGTTTTTTCAAACCTAAAAAGTATAAATAGAGTTCATTCAAACTAGGATCTTGGGATTTATTATTAGCCTAATTTTTCATATTTTTAATTATCATTTTTATATGGGTTAGTTAAATAATAAGAATAGAAAGGTAATTAGAGGATAATAATAATTTAAGCATTAAAGGAATTTGTAAATATATAAATAAACATATAAGTAAACACTATAAGCACATGCTTTCAAATGAGTGATAAGGAGCACATAAAATATATATTTAAAACAAAATATGACATAACATTCATAACATGACAAATTTTCTAGTTACCCAGTACACCCGGCACCCAACATTCAATAAAGACTCTTAAAGCTAAATCGTTCAATAAGTTAAACTATACAAGCGAATATCACTTATGACTTCCTTCCCTTCTACAAAATAATAAAGTATAATAATAAAAATGCATAGACATCCTTAAGAACTCTTCACTCCTTTAATCACATGGTTTCAATCAATAACCAATGATTATGATAGTTTGTAAACTTTTCTTGTGATATATCCTAGTGGCACCGTTGTGAAAAATTCTAATAATAGTGAAAGGACCAATCCATCTAGAGATAATTTTCCATGGAAATACTTATCCTTATAATCAAATAAGAAAACATCTTACTAGGAAAGAAATAAAACAAGAAAACTCTACCACCATATATCATCCATATTTTTACCTTGTACTTATTCATATCTTCATATAACTCCTCTTCAAATTCTTTCAACATAGTAATAATTGAATAACTTTGCATGTGGATAAGTGAAAAATAATCTTCATTCTTGATATGATTTTAATTTTAGTTCTTTGAAGAAGATTACGTACACATTATTCTACTCATTGCTTAGACTTTTAATTTCCAAGATAAGAAATTATGATACTCACTAAAGAATATGTAAGGAATGAAAAGAGAACTTCCTCCTAACTTATAGATTTTAGTGGGATGGAAGATTGAAAATTTTGAAATTTTAATCATTAAGGCTTGTCGAAGCACTGCGGAATTCAAAGGTACGGCTCCGCGGCGCTTCCTTCCTCTCTCAAAGGATTTTTTTAATAAAATTAAATAAACCTAACTTAGAAGATAAGGTAGCCTCCCTAAAAGAGCTAAGTTTATAGTATTCAACTAGACTTCATAATTATTTAGACCTAAGACTGGGTTTCCTCCCAAGCAGCATAAAGTTTATTATCTTAAGCCAGACTTACTCAGATTTTCCATTTGACTAAGGTGTATGGTTAATATTTTTTTATTTGGTCTCATTGGTATATCTTTCCTTGTATTTAGGATTAACTTCTATGTTACTAGTAAGATATCCAAATGGCCTACTACTCATAAAAATTACAAACTTACTTAGTTGAGTTTCCAAAATTTTAATTGAAGCGGCTTAGTTTTGTAATTTAGTTCCCAATTGTATGACCATATCTTCTAATGGTGTCTTCCAAGTTCTATACTAATTGTTTTAATTAATTGTAGGAAGATATGCCAGTCTTAAATTGTTAATAGCATAATTTTTATAATTCTTATTTGAGCCTTGTTTTTTTTTTACCATTATTCCATTTACTTCTACCATTATTATTTGACCAACTAAAATTTGGGTGATTCCTCCAAGCAGGATTAAATGTATTTGAATAGGGGTTATTTTTTCTACCATTCACATTTTAATTTTTAATCCCATGTATATCATTTTCTTTTATTGAAGTTTTATCTTCCATAGGGAAAGAAGAATTAGAATTAAAGCATAAAGTGATCAATTTCTTTAATATTGTTATAACATATGCAGTCAAAATAAATAAAGAACCATTTTTATAAACTTCAGCCACTCTCTTAGGATTCACCCTATCAATATGCCACTAAAAATGATATGTTTCCTTTTCTTCCACAAACACATAAGCATCTTCAAATAGCTTTGACATAAAAAAACATACAGTAGCAGCATCAATTATGGATCTAAGGGATCTTACCAATCCATTATAAAAAGTTTTAATTATCAACCAATCAGGTAAGGCATAATGAGTACACTTCCTAAACATCCCTATAAATCTCTACCAACTCTATAAATAGATTCTCCTTCTGTCTGAATTAAAGAAGTAATGTCATTGCTAAGCTTGGTAGTCTTATATCGATGTGTCAAAATCTGATCTAACTTTAAACTTAACCTGACCTGACCCTAAAATGTCTAAGTGTGGATCAACCTATTTTTCATATGAGCCAGAGTATGGTTCAAGTTATTGACCTATTTACAAAATTGGGTTAGGTTCAGATTGACCCAAAAACCCAAAATCAACCAGGTTTGAGCCAAGAACAAGGTTTGAACGTGTGTGACCTTTTTGCATCCAATATTCCTCTCATCCTCCTTTTTTTGATCCACATTAATGTGCCACCAAGATGGATCAGCACCTCTTATGAGGTCCATGTCCTAGCCTAGATAGCTAGATCGCCATGCGCCAATCTATAAGACCCATATGAGGCACAACCAAACAAAATAGATCCTACACCCTCAGTTTCCACCATCATCATGCCACCTGCCATAATCTCTATGTCACCTCACATGTTGCCATCACCATGCTACCTCAGGTGCTTCCATCTAAAAATTTATCTTAAATCATTTATGGGATTTGGCTGAAAAAACACACAAACAAAACAAAGCCAATGTCATAAATTTCATGTTTGTCAAGTCAATTGCAGACGGGTTGAGTCGGGTTGACCCAAAACCAAACTAAGCAGGGTTTGGGTTGGGAAAAATGTCCCAAATTTAAAATGGGGTCAAGTTTGGGATAGGTCAAAATCTATCGGGTTGGACCCAAACTAACCCGTGGAGATGATTTGATACCCCTAGTCTTAAAAAGTGGGAAATACTTTCCTAAAAATTTTTGTGCCAACTCATTCCATGTAATAATAGTGCTTGGGGTTAAAGAATTTAATCACATTTTTACCTGATCTCTTAGAGAAATTAGGAACAATCAAAGTCTAATGGCATCATCACTAACAATGTTGTACTTAAATGTTGCATAAATTTAAATGAAACTTTCAAAATATAGGTTAGGATCTTCTATGGGAGTTCCCCCAAATGAAGAAATTTGTACCATATCACTGATTGTAAGTTTAATTCAAAATTATTTGCTTGGATTGTGGATCTATTCATGCCTTGGTGAATTCCGTCTACAAAAGGGTTTACAAAGTCTTTAAGAGGTCTTAAATAATCTAAGTTTTAAATAGGGTTGGCCATTTTAAAAATCTATTTGATGGTTCTAATTTTACCAAAGGTTCTCTTAATTTCATAATCAAAATTTATACATACCTCCCATCTATGTCTTGTAAGCATGCAATCACATATATGCAATCAGTAAAGTAAAATAAAATAATAAAAGAATATAGTGGGAATAATTATGTAGTTTATTCAATAATATAATGAACTTATAAAAAAGTAAATTCATCCCTAATAATGACACAAAAAACTTGATGGGGGAAGTAGAGTAACATAAAAAATTATGAATATAATTTAGATCTCTATCAATCTTTAAACAATGCTTAGGTTTTCTTTGATACAAAAATTATAAAAACCCTACTTAATATATGCAAGTATATGTGGTTAATCAAGTAATATAGTAGAGTATCAATCCCATGAGGAAGAATGTTTACTTAAAAATACTAGTACTTTCTGCTTTTACTACAATAATTGTTCTACTAAATTAAAATAAGTTTTAGTGCAAATTCAATCACTTAA